ATTCTTATTTCATTATTCTTAGAATTTATATATTATTTCAATTTTATCTAATTTTAAATTAATAATTAAATTATTGAAATAAGTTATTCAATACTAGTTAATTAATTCTTATTATTTTTATTTTATATTCTTCTTTATCTTTTGTTATTATTCACTTCTTTTAAATTATTTTATTCTTTATTTGTTATTTTATTCTTTTCTTTTTATTTCTTGTTTTATGATAATTTTATTTATTTAATGTAATTTATTGTAAATTAATGTATTTCATATTCCTGTTTTAATTATTCATTATTTAATTTTCTTATTTTTAATGCTTATTTTATTTTCTTCTTCTTTATTTTCTTATTTTAATATGAATTTATCTTAATTATCACTATATTATTATTGTTTATTTTTCTTTTTATCATCTTTCTTATGAATTATTTCCTTTTTCTTTCTTATTATGTATATTATCATTTATACCTGTATATCATATCAATTATTTATTGGTATTCTCTTCTTTATATTTAAATATACTTTTATTTTATTTGATATTCATTATTCATATTTATTAATCACTAATATTCTTAAATTATTAATTATGGATCTTTTATAATCAATGGTATTGTTATAACCAGACAATAATTAGGTGAATTTAAAACATGAATAATTTATGAATCCACCTGTTATGTGTATTGTGTATTGTGTATTATTCTAATCTGAATTATATAGATAAAAATGAAAAATGATTAAAAGAAATATTACAAATTATAATAATAATTTATACCTTTATCAATTAAAATGAAATGGTTAAAAAATCAATTAAACAATTAAATATGAATCAAATTAATTTGTTGAATTAAAACTATTAATTGAAAATAATGTTTGATGATTTATTGCTTAATGTTTGAATAACATTTGAGATAATTGTTATTTTGTTTAATTAAATTTATAACTTATACTATTATCTTAAAACACTATATCTATTATTTGATTATTATTAAATACAATTAGATGTGATAATTTGAATAAAAATATAAATTAAAATATTATGATTAATGAATGATTAATGTTATATGTTATACAATTAATCAAAATAACTTTTAAATTGATAGAAATTATAAAAATCATTTGAGATATGACAAATAATGTTATATTTCATTTATTCTTTATATCCTTCTATTTTTTTATTTCTTCTTTATTTCTTCTTTACCTTTATTTCTTCTTTTTATACTCTCTACTTTTATTATTTCTTATATTTCTTTCTTTTATTCTTTATCTTTTATTATCATTTCCCTCTTTTATTATTTATTCTTTCCTCTTTTATCTTCTTTTTCTTTATTATCACT